TTTCACCCATAGACTAGACAACAAGCGTGGATCCCGTCGAGTACGACGAATGTGAGGGGTGCTAATACCTTCCCCTTGCGTAACTGACTCCCGAACCCGAGATTTGGTTGCGATGACCTGTCTTATTCCCTTTTCGTAGGTTTTCTCTGATCGTTTCCTTTCCTTCTCTTTGGGATAAATAACGAACGGTGGTGAATCTTCTGTCTTTCGCCGACTCTCCTTTTTTGTAGTAGCAAACAGTAATGATGTGAAAATTCAATAAAGAAACTATTATCCACATTCCTAAGGTCACCCTTCTTATGGGATGGTCTTTTGGCAAATAGTTTCCTCAATAGGAATCTCATTTTCCCTAGCATGGGCCCTTTGGGAGATGATCCATCCAATTTGTCCATGAGCTGGCTATTTTAAACCACTTTGAGTAGTCCATCTGACTTAAATCCAAATCATAATAGAGGAAGATTACGTGTTATTTAACTGCTTAATTTACTGGTATAAATGATCCATCTTCTCATCCTTGCAGGTAGATAAATCATCCTCTAACTTCTTCTTGGAGAGCAGGGTGTCTTCAAGAAACTTTTTAAGTTTGTTCTCCGATAGGGCAATCCTTTTGGCCTTTTCATTTGATTTCTTAAGGGATTATTTGAGTTTCTCCTTTGATCAAATTTTCCGATCCCACTCCTTATTTTGATGTTTTACAAACTCATGCTCTCGAGTTAGAATTTTCTTTGTGGAAGTCAAAATAACCTACAAGTCGCCTACAAATCAATTTTTCTGGCAATGAGCCTTAAAAAGCACTCACTCCAGCATCAAGGCCCTCCGCATGTGGTTCTCCATCATATTAGACAACTTATGAGTTCCCAATTGATTGATAGCTTGAAAGTGTTGGGAAAGTCTTCATGGAAGGGGAGTCACACACAAACATATTTTGGCGGGCAAAATGCATCATTTCATAAAGAAGGTGGAAAGTTTTTATGATGAGTCAGCCCGAATTGGTAACCCTGTGTGGTTCTCACCCTTCTTCTCATCTTTAAGGTTGAAAGTGACCTTGTTCTTCTGATTTGGAGCCGAAGAAGAACTCTCACCAGACCCTTCTAGCTTCATGGCTTTAAGGCACCTGATGTCAATGCAGTCGTTCCCGAGGAGTTTGGATGAGGCTCGTTTGACTTATCATTATTTCCTCTATATGCACACCATGTTGTCAGGCATGTGTGGGACGAAAAGGTAAAATTTATTAATATTTAGCCTTTTAACCAAATGTGTTATGATATTCAAACTTTCTGATGATAATTTATTTTTCTACAGTATCGTGATGCTTTAAATGCATAAACAATGGTCGAAAGATTGTAAGGGTGCATCAGCCTGATGAGCAGTGGTTTTGAAATGCGATGCAGCTATCTAGGCTGAGAGATTTATGCATGATTGGTTTTTCTACTATTAGCCATGGTATGTTGTTAGTGTTCATTGAGAGATGGAAGTTTAGACATGATTGTTTTCATCTTCCACATGGTGAGATGTTCATCACACTAGATGATGGGTCATGAATGTTGCATCTTTCAATCGGGGGAAGATTATTATACTACTACAAAATTATAAGAGATGATGCATTGAGGGTGATGGTATAATATTTGGGAGTTGGCCCAGGTGATGCCCTAAAGGAGATACATGACACTCGATTGTGTCATGCTAGATTTGGATTCTTTGTGAGGTTGTATGCACACCAGCTGACTACGGTAGAGTATGTTAATGGTGATGATGAATAGGTTATGGAGCATAAAGCATATGCATTAAGGACATACGTATTGTACTTGGTTGACACATCCATATTTGTGTTCAAGAATGCCTATTACGTGGATGTAGTTTATCTTAGATACTTTGCTGACTTGGAGCGAATTCATAAGGGCCACCTTTTTGGTCTACTTGTACTCCAAGTTATCTAAAGGTTATCTTTAAAAACCCAAATAGATGACAGCTAGCTGCACGTTGTTGACGGTAATATATTTGCATCCTTCACTATTTATGTGCCATTTTCATAACACTTGTGCTACGTCATTACTAATAATTCATCCATACCACTCTCAGGCATGGATCCTCCAACACTTCCCACGCATCTCAAGTTGGTCATATGTTGATGACTACACTAAGGATATGCCACATGCTTGTGTATTTGTCCCACTAAGAGGGAATCGTTCGACTGAGCCCTTTAGAGTGTTTCTTGATCGCAATGTACATGATGATATACGCTTTCAGCCGTATGACCTTCACCGTCAAACGCGTCTCTTGGATGACATAGCCTTCTACTCTGAATGGTTAACTTATGGGTCACGTGTGATGTATCCATATTTTCTTGAGCAAGTCATGCGCCAGTTCGAGGATATGCAATTTGTTCCAAGAGACCCCTCCAAATCTGCTCCTCCTACTAAGGTCCGCATATATGAAGATGACATGTATGATGATTTCCTTAATCATCTCGTATTGCCTGAAGCACGAATTATTGTAGCTCCTAGAGACTGGATTTGTTCATACGACTACGTTTAGTGGTATTTCAGAGTGTCACATCCTTATATGACACTAGATGCCGAGGGAGAGCTATCTAGTACCGCTCATCAAGAGATATTAGAGAACGAGTATGCTATGGTATATCATTTTGTTGATGTGTCGTATGTATTTCGTCATATTATGGATCTTGCACGGGAGGGTATAGATAGATGAGACTTTTCGGAAGACATTTATGGAAGGACTATTGTAAATGTCATTTTTACTAAGGCACAAACGTCATTGAAGTACATGATGCAAAAGAAATAGGGGGTCTAATATATGCAATAATATTGTACTTGTATTAGGGATTATGGTTGTATTATTGTTTGTTACTTTGTTATTTTGACTGTATTATGGATTCAATTTATATGTCATTTTCATCTTATTACATTCGTGTTTGGCTTATGCATTGAGGACATACACATTGTACATGGTTGACACATCCATATATGTGTTCAAGAATGCCTATTATGTGGATGTAGTTTATCTTAGATACTTCGCTGACTTGGAGCGAATTCATGAGTACAGCTAGGGGCCACCTTTTTGCTCTACTTGTACTCTAAGTTATCTAAAGGTTATCTTTGGAAGATCAAACATATGACAGCTAGCTGCACGCTGTTGAAGATAATATATTTGAATCCTTCACTTTTTATGTGCCATTTTTATGACACTTGTGCTACGTCATTACTAATAATTCATCCATACCATTCTCAGGCATGGATCCTCCAACACTTCCCACGCATCTCTAGTTGGTCATATGTTGATGACTACACTAAGGATATGTCACATGCTTGTGTATTTGTCCCACTCAGAGGGAATCATTCGACTGAGCCTTTTAGAGTGTTTCTTGATCGCAGTGTACATGATGATATACGCTTTCAGCCGTATGACCTTCACCGTCAGACGCGTCTCTTGGATGACGCAGCCTTCTACTCTGAATGGTTGACTTATGGGTCACGTGTGATGTATCCATATTTTCTTGAGCAAGTCATGTGCCAGTTCAAGTATATGCAATTTGTTCCAAGAGACCCCTCCAAATCTGCTCCTCCTACCATGGTCCGCAGAGATGAAGATGACATATATGATGATTTCCTTAATCATATCGTATTGGCTGAAGCACGAATTATTATAGCTCCTAGAGACTGGATTTGTTCATACGACTACGTTTAGTGGTATTTCAGAGTGTCACATCCTTATATGACACTGGATGCCGAGGGAGAGCCATCTAGTCCCGCTCATCAAGAGATATTAGAGAACGAGTAGGCTATGGTAGATCATCTTGTTGATGTGTTGTATGTATGTCTTCGTATTATGGATCTTACGCGGGAGGGTATAGATAGAGGAGACTTTTCGGAATACATTTGTGATAGGACTATTTTAAATACTTTTACTGAGGCACAAACGTCATTGAAGTACATGATGCAGAAGAAATAGGGGGTCTAATATACGCAATAGTATTGTATTTATATTAGGGATTATAGTTGTATTATCGTTTGCTACTTTGTTATTTTGGTTGTATTATAGATTCAGGACTGATTCATTTATATATATATATATATATATATATATATATATATATATATATATATATATATATATATATATATATATATATATATATATATATATATATATATATATATATATATATATATATATATATATGTATATATGTCATTTTCATCTTATTACATTCATATTTAGCTTAATTGATTAAAAAATATATTATGATAATATAGTTATAATACATTATCTATTACATAGGTGTTTTTCTTTTAAAAAAGTTATCAAAATTTATTAAGTATAGGGTAAATATGAAAGTGTTTATCTGTATTTATTAGGAAGATTCATTTATGTACTAAATTATATCAAAATGACTCTCTGTGTTAAAAATGGTTGGATTGTATATATAGTGAATAGTGAGATGCATATCTTGACATAATTATATAAATATGATAGTGTATCAATTAAGAATGAATATGACGCATATCTAATGCATCTCCGAACTAATTTTTAAAAAAATAGATATGTAACTCAATTACATTTAAATCTAATATAAATGTGTTCGAAAATACCTTTTAAAATTAATGACACTTTGAAATTTTAAATGAAGTCCTAAAATATCTACAATAAAGCATGTCCGGCCCAAAAATCCATAAATATATATTTTGAAATTACTAGTTCCTCAAATGAACACAAAGCTCACTATATTCAAAACAACTACAAATGCATGTCGGTCATAAAATTAATATTAGTTTACATTAAAGTATCACACTTTCATGTGATTCCCATATTTTATCATAACTTATTCTCCATTATTGTGTCACCAGCAACACCTTGATCTTTTGTCTAAAGTCAAATTGCCAACCTAAACAGTTTCTTACTCTAAAATTTTCCACAAAAACCTGTCTCTATAAAACCCAACAACTCCTTAAAACATTCTCAAACAACAAAATAATCAAAAGATGGGACTTCTTCACTGTCCTTTTTGTTGCTACACACAAAACCATCATCAACAAACAGATTCCCACTCTCACTCTCATGATCACCTTCATTCAGAACCATCATCAACCTCTTCTTCCCTTTCTTCACAACCAAGTCTTCCTTCTGTTCCTTCTCTCACCTCACAACTCACTCAACACTCTCATCACAAACTTCTAACAACCATCAATGGTCACTCTTCCCCCATCTTCTCCCTCACTCTTAGCTCCAAGTTTCTTTACAGTGGCTCTTCCAATAGTGAAATAAGAAGATGCTCCAATGACCCTTTTGCCCTTCAAACCTCATCAAACAGTACAAACAATTTGGTTTCAATCAGTAACAGATCAAAATCAACCATCAAGTCTATGGTTGTTCTTAATGATATGTTGTTCAGTGCTCACCAAGATCACAAAATCCGAGTTTGGAGAATCGAAACAGCAAAAGGTGATGATCATGATACTAAACAAGATCAGAAGCTGTTCAAATGTATAGCAACACTCCCGACTTTTAACGACCGTTTTTCGAAGCTTTTTTTGTCGAAAAACTACGTCGAAGCTCGAAGACATAAGAAGTTTACATGGGTGAATCATATCGACGCAGTTTCTTCTCTAGCTCTTTCGAAAGATGGGTTATTTCTTTACTCTGCATCTTGGGATAGAACATTCAAGATTTGGAGAGTTTCCGATTTCAAGTGTTTAGAGTCTGTGAATAACGCGCATGAAGATGCTATTAATGCAATTGTTGTTTCATCTGATGGGTCTGTTTACACAGGATCAGCTGATAAAAAGATCAAAATTTGGAAGAAAAATGAAACTAAAAAGCATTTTTTGATTGGAACATTGGAGAAACATAGATCATCTGTCAATGCTTTGGCTCTTAACAAAGATGGGTCAATTTTGTATTCCGGTGCTTGTGACAGATCAATTTTAGTTTGGGAGAAACGCGATTGTTCCGGTATGAGTCAAGATCATGGTAATGAAACAATGGTGTTGGTTGGTGCGCTTAGAGGGCATAGTAAGGCAATATTGTGTTTGGTTGTGGTGGATGAATTGGTGTGCAGTGGATCAGCTGATAATAGTGTTAGGATATGGAGAAGAGGGATTGGTGAAAAGGATTATGCATGTTTGGGTGTGTTGCAGGGTCATAGAAAACCTGTGAAGTGTTTGGCTATGGAAGTTGATTCTAAAAGTGATAAAAATGGTGATGATTGTTGTTCTTATCTTGTTTATAGTGGTAGTCTTGATTGTGACATTAAAGTTTGGCAAATACAAATTCCCTTGGTTGTTTAGTTTTGGTGTTCTTCTCTCAGTGTTGGATTTGAGTTTTTTTATTGCTTTTCCAGATGTTGGATTTTCCAAATCTGTTACCTGTGTTTACAGATTCTTTGATATTGAACTCTGTCTGTTTAAAACCGATTGTACAACTTGTTGTTGTTTTGGTGCTGATATGGCTATGAGTTTCTTCTTCATTCTTAGATTTGATATCACGGTTTAATTGACCAGAAATGGTCGTGATTGGTTACTGCAACTAGCGCTAAATTGTTGGTTCAAAAATTCATCACTGCGGTGGCGATCGAATTTATTCACCATTCTAAAAATTCAGGTACAGTGTCTCATATTTCGCACATCATATATTTTTGCAATAATTTGATTTCGCACTCGTAGGGAATTCGTCAAATTGGGCATGAGATGTGTGAATGTGTATCTATGAGATTTAGATTACATTTTTAATTTCCAAATCCTTTGAAATTGAATTTACATATTTAGAGATAGGGATAGACTACGTCTAGTTAAGTTTTGTTAAGTTTGAGTTTGTCTTGCTAAAACTTCTTAAGTTTAAGTATGAAATATAACATATTTTAAACTTATTTTTGGACTTCAGTCTACCCTTTTTAGATAGTTGATTGACCTACCTACATTAAAACCTATTTCATGTAATATATCTTAACAAATTAAAATATCAATAAGGCTAAATATTTATTTTCATTTAACGATTCAAGTTTATATATTAGTATAAGTATTGCGATACTATTTATTTGTGAAACTTTATGAAAACATCTTATGACAACAATTTATAATATTGATCATAAGGTTTTTTCAACTTTTATTCATAAGTTCTTCACGATAACTAAACTTAATTTTCGTATTTTAGTTCAAAGTACAAAATACAATATAATAATAATAATAATAATAAAGTTATCCATATATTTTTTGAAATAAAGATTATATTATTACCAAAAACATGATTTACATGTCAATCCAAGGATTTGGGCGACAAGATGACTCAACAACCCAAACAACGAGAGAAACAAACTAACAACAACTCACATCCTATTACACTAGGCTACAAGTTTTCTATCCATCTCAATCCTAACTAGCAAAATATCTCTAATGTGTTTACTATGCAGAGCATCTTTGCTACAATTTTGGAATATGATTTTGTTACTCACTGTCCAAACATGATACACAGTCTCAGCAATAGCCAATTTCAAATTTTTGGTGCGGCTACCTTTGTCCCGAGTATTGTGAATAATCCAGCCTATCTCATTTTGCCAACCACCAAGGTTATGCACCAAACCAATTCTAGCCAGGACCTGCTGCCAAACAAGTTTTGTAGTTGCACATTCAAAGAATAAGTGATGGTACCTTTCTTGTAACTGACACAACACACACACACACACACGCACACCATCGGTACTCAACCATGATTTTGCATCCTATTCTTGGTCAGAAGTCGGTTTTAGCAAGCCATCCACAAAGTGAAGATGACTCTAGGCCTAGCAAGATTTCCAAAAAATAATGTCCTCCAATCCACCCTTGGCTTATTTCCACGCCCAAACCTATACATTTTGCTTGCATGTACCTGCCATCATCTTGAAAGTTCTTCCAAACCTCAGAATTCATAAACAAGTCTCTGTTTTTAAAAATTGCTTTTAATAACCAAGAACAATTATTAGCTTGATGGAACTCTGTAGCATCCACTCCCTTCATGTAGTAGGTGTATATCCATTGAATCCACAAGATATCCTTCTTTCCCCAAATATTCCATAATAATTTACCAATTGGGACTTTATTCCATTCTATTAAGGACACCAGGTTTCTCCTTCTTGCAGATATGGGATCACAAATATGGTCACAAGCTATAGGTGCATTCCTGCTCCGATTCTCTTTACCAGTCCACGGGAATCTTCTGCATAAAACTTCCACATGGACTAGAACCTTCTTAGGAAGAGGAAACATATGCATCCAATAGTTAGAAATACAGAAGATCACATTTATAACTAATTGGAGTCTCCCAGCATAGGATAAAATCCTAGTACTCCAATGCTTCAATCTATTAATCATTTTGTCAATGAAGGGCTGCCAGTTATTAACAGACAACTTCTTGCTATCCAAAGGAACCCCTAAATACTTAAAAGGCATTGTACCACTAGTAAAACTTGTTTCATGCTGAAGAAATCTCTTAGTTTCTCCATCCACTCCACCAAGATACAGTTTGCTTTTAGGGTTCCTCATATACATGTCAGTGGCAATAGAAAAGTCTTTAACTTTCTCCATTATCAGCTTCAAGGAACCAATGTCACCTCTGACAAATAATATGATATCATTTGCAAATAACAAATTAATAATCTTTAATTTCTCACACTTAGGGTGGAAATTAAAGTTAGGGTTATCATGTAATCCTTGCAACAGCTTATCCAAATACTCTATTATGATCATAAATAAAAGGGGGGAATGAGATCTCTGCCTCAGACCTCTCCTAGCCTTCAGGATTTTAGAAGGGTTCCCATTAATGGAGAACCTGTATTAAACAATTGTTACACAATCCATGATCTAGTCATTGAACACCTGAGGGATTCCCATTTCTTGCATAATTTGAGCCAGGGCTTGCCACTCCACAGTATCATAAGCCTTCTGAATGTCCATTTGGACCATACACCTGGAGGAGACATTTTTCCTGGTATACCCTCTCACCAATTCTTGAGCAAGCATGATGTTATCATGGATGGTTCTGCCAGACACAAAAGTTGATTGAGTGTCTTCAATAAGTTTGCTTAACTTTACTAAGTTTGGAAGTTAGGATTTTGGAGATGATTTTGTAGATAGTGTGGCAACAAGAGATTAGTCTCATATATTTAATTGTCTTGCCTTCAGGAGATTTAGTAATCATAGTAATAAATGAGCAGTTAATGGCCTTATACATGTGACTTGTATCAAAGAAATCCATTATAACAACTTTGACATCTTCTTTCACAACCTGCCAAGTTATCTTAAAGAAATAGGCATTGAATCCATCCATGTCTAGAGCCTTATTGTTCCTTATACTAGTAAGGGCCTTCCAAATCTCACTATCATCAATAGGCCTGATTAGATGATGGGCATCCTCTCTGGACAAAGTTTTCCCACTTCTCATAGTAGGCACATTAATTCCTCTTAAATCTATGGCCTTAGTATCAACCAGATTGTTATATAAGTCCATAATATCTCTTTCAATATCCTCTTGTTTGCTCAGTAAATCACCATTTAGAGAGAACAAAGTATACATCCTCTTCTGCCTGCTTTTTTCCTTCACAAAAGCATGTAAAAGCATTGTTATTGTCCCCAAGTTGTAGCCAAGTTACTTTAGCTTTCTGCATCAAAATAGCTTCCTCCACTTGATTCAGATGAACAATTTTATCAGTATAGTATCTCACTTGCTCAATTGACTGATTATCAAATAAATTATGCTGAAGGTTCTCTTGGGCTTGACTAAGCTCCTGTCTAGTTTGAATAATTTGGATTTGTATGTCAGTAAACTTCCTAGTCAATTACTTGAGGATATGTTGAAGCCTCTTCAACGTGATCCACAATCTATGCATAGGCCTACCATTCACACCCTACTGCCAACTATTATTCATAATTTTCATAAAAGAAGGGTCATGGGCTATGCAATTAATGAACTTGAACATGGTTTTTTTCATTTGAATTTTGAAGAGTGATACCAATCTTCACAAGGGCATGGTAAAAAATGTTAGGGGCAAGGTTCTCAACAATAGCATCATGGAAACTTTTGAACCACTCAACATTACCAACCATCATGTCAATCCTAGAATAGTTCACTCCAGTAGTATGTTTATTTGTCTAGGTCTAGTGACTCCCTCTGGTGCTAGCTTCAAACAAACCCACCACTTGCATCATGCTTTCAAGGTCTTTATACTCTGCCTCTCTAATAAGGTTACCACCAACCATATCCTAGCTGGTCAGAACATTATTGAAGTCCCAAATGACAATCCAAGGAACTCTCATATTGCTGCCCCTATTTTCTATCTCATTCCACAGGGTTTTCCTATGTTCAATTTGGTTAAAAGCATACACCACACTAGAAGCATATTGATGGGATTGTTACAAGCCATAGACCTCAACATGAATAAGTTGCTTACTGGTTTTCAGAACTTTTATTTCCATTTTATTTTGATTCCATAACAACCAAATCCTACCATTTATGTGATGCTTCTAATTATCTACAAAATTCGACTTATTTCTAAATATTCTCCTTATTTTGTCACAATTATGCTTCTTCACCCTAGTTTCAAGCAAGGCAATAATTGGAACATTAAAAGTTGAGATATATAAGCTTACCTCTATATACCTTGCCTCTTTATTGACGCCCTTAACATTCTAGGTCACTATCATTGATCACGTTTGTTGTCTCCCATAGGACATTATCCAATCCTAAGGGGAGTAAAAGAATTGTGATATGCCACAAATGAACTCTTGGGAGTATGAATCATAGCTCTCTTCCCTTTATCCACTTTTCCAAATGTAACCTTGGTCCAATCTTCTGTTTTTCTGGTTCATTTCCATCATCTGCCACAATTGTTATTTTCTCGTCTCTAGGGATTTAGCTTATAACCTCTCTTTGATTCTCTGTATTTGATTTGCTAGCAACATGTTTCTGTTGCACCCCAAAATTTGCCCAACATTTCTTCACCTAGCTTATGTTTCATTTCATTCACATTAGCATTATCATTTGCATTTCATTGACATGTATGCAGGAGATCAAGAGGTATGATTATCAATCAAGACTTTGAAGCTAGCTAAGGAGGCTTATTCAAGTGTTCAAGGGTTGATAGCCTTGTCAGAGAAGTTGAAAGATCCTCAGAGAGAGTGGTTGAAGCCAAGTGTGTAGGTCTCCTAACTTGAAAGTTGTGGAAAGCCATCAGATGATTCTGAAGCCATGAAGATGGACTTGAGGTCTTGAGAGAGCTCATGAGAGGTGTTGAAGATCACTTTGAGGTCTAGACAGGTCA